ATGGGGGAAATGTTTCTGTTAAAAAAAATGAGAGGGAATGTTCCTGCAACTTCTAACTACATATACTCCAGAATAAACTGGCTTGGAGGACATGAAACGTCTATCAACACAAGCCTATTTTAATACAATGCAAAAAATAAATAAATCTCCACACGGCAGTCCAAGGACTGAGGAAAGTCAAACTTGAAATTCAGTCCCTTCATTAATTGTATGAGACATGGATATACTGATAGCAAGAAGTTTTTTCCCCCTCTGATCCCTAGAGTTTTTGTCCTTATAGAGTTCAGGTTTGAAGGAGGTCATGTTCATGACACATCATGTAGCAGTCAAAAACCAAGCCACGCGCTGCACAAAGCCGATTCAGTGATCTTAGATGTGCAGTCATGCTATTGCTTGCCTTGCAATCTCCATTTTTTAAAGTGTAAAAACCCCACAAAGTGCTTTGAACACTGATAAGTGCATTCATATAGCATTTCTTACACAATGGGTTGGATTGGGATTTCTGCTGGTGGAAAAGGAAGAGGGGGTCCCCCGGGAACACCAAAAAAGGCTACATTGGGGAACCTGCGTGGATAAAAGCCACCTGGGACAGAGGCTACAGTAATCCTACCCCGTGAAGGAACCTCTATTGCACGGTAGTGGAAAGTGCAGCAAAATCACAGCTGACTTATAATGTTCAGAGGTGGTCTGCCATTGCCTGCCTCTGTGTGGCAACCCTGGGATTCCATGGTAGCCTCCCATCCAAGTACTAGCCAGGGCTGACCCCTGCTTAGCTTACAAGATCTGATGGAACGGCCTGCTTGAAGAGGTTATGAAGGACCCCACTCTCCTGGCTTTCTGCAAACTATGTCAAATGGAATTTCTAAAGAGGGCTTTTTTGCACCGGTAAAAGGCCAGGAACTGTGGCCTGCACCACAGTACTGCTGCCTCTCACTGCTAAATATGCTCCGACTATGTAGCTTCTAGACCATTTGACGTGTTATGTTTAAATGCTTATGCTTGTTTCCCAGGTTCATTTCAACTCTGTTTTAGACTTCTGCTTGTTTTCAGATTTCTGTAGTCCAGACAATGTTCCCTCTAAGCTATGGAATCTTGTGAGCAAAAAATGTGCTTTGTGAGCTACTGACATTAAAGTTGTGAGCCAGTGATTTGGCTACTGCATAAATTAGTTTGCTCTGGAGTCATCCTCCCTAAGACAAAAATGTGTGAGCCGGAGGCTAAAAAACTGTGAGCTAGCTCACACCAACTCAGCTTAGAGGGAACACTGAGTACAGACCCTATTGCACTGTTTAATGGATGTCCCTGTCCTGTTAATTGTATTTGACTTATATGACATAATCTGCCTTGAGTCTCAGTGAGAAAGGCGGACTATAAATAAATAAATAAATAAATAAAATATATCTGAAGCTGAGCAGGGAGAGAGAGGTCCACCAGCACTGACTCCATTGTCCTCCTGTGGAGTCAAGACAAATCCCCATGAAAAGATTCCCCCTCCCAGTCACTCAGAACTGTCACACATAGATAACCATACTATTAGCTGATGAGGACCCTGAAACGACTCGCTTGGTGGCAAAATATCTTTCGATAGTGCTATTTTTAAAGCGGCTTTGAAATGTTATAAGTACCTTTTGTATACAATTTTAAAATTTTAAAACTAATTTTCATAATATCATGGGATTTTATAGAATTCATTGAAGTTTATAAAATGTGGTCTGATATTACTGATCGAGAGCATGTTTACAAGCTTTTATTGTAAAGACGTTCTGTCTAAATTTCTTGTAATTATATGTAATGCATTTTATAGTTGCTGTTTGCATGTTTGGCTTAAGACCTCGGGTCAATGAAGCTAATAAATGAAATGGAATGGAACTGTCACACATCATAGATCTCTGTATTCCAACAAGCACCCACCAAATTTAGATCCTGGGAGACACCTCTGCTAGCAGAATGGATCCATGTGGATGGATCCAGAGTAATTAACAGTACAATCCTAAGAATCCTTGGAGTGAGATCCACTGAATAGACTGGGGTAGGATTCTGGGTAGACTTGCTTACAAGGGCACTGGAAATAACTAAAGGTTCTCAGGGGGTCGAAGTACTGGCCCTCAGGAAGAGCCTGCTGCCCTCGGAACTGGCCCTCAGAAGAGTCTCTGTATGATTTACTGCTCTGTCCGGTCCTGTCTCCTTCCAATCAAGCTTTGCTGGGGAAATACAAATTCTTCCCCGGATCTGACTAGATCAATCAATGAATCACTCCTGATGGGCAGAGATGCGATAGAGTTACTCGCTATTGGAGAGGGCTGACAGTTGAACGTCTGCATAAGCCACAGATCTGCGCTAACCTTGTTCCAATCGACATTTCAGTGAGTCGTACAGAAGCATAACAAGCGTGTTCCCTAAAAATCTCGCTCACAACTTTAATGCCAGGAGCTCACAAAGTAGAATTTTTCCTCACAAGATTCCACAGCTTAGAGGGAGCATTGGTTCTAAAGAGGCTGCATTTGAATTAATTATTTAAAACTGCAGTCATGAAAGGGCTGCTGTCAAATATCTATGCTATACATTTGGACAGTGAATTTGGCAGCAGCTTTATGAGAAAATGGAATAAAATGTTGCAAGCAATTATCCCAGATCTTCTCTGGAGGGACACATTTGCAAAAGGACTCTCATCCTCTCCATGATCTAATTGGAAGAATAATTTTCAGAAATTTCTACACTGCTGGAATCTCAACTCCACCTTCTATCAGTAAAATTGAGAAGGCTCACGATGTCACAGCTCCTGCTGACTGCGAGCCAGCGGCTCCCGCTGAGTGCGACCAAGCGGCCCCAACAGAGGATCTAAGTGCTGCTGGGGATGAGCTCTCAATGCTGGAAACTCCCGCATCTGACAGGGCTGAGATTCCAGAGGCTACCCCAGCAACAGCTGAGGCAGAAGCATGCCCGGACAGTTCTCCTCCTGTTTCGCCTCCACCCATGTCCCGCTTGAGAGAACAGCGCCACTGGGATATGGCAGCCCGGCGGCGAGAGACGTGCATGCGTGGCAGGCGCTCATTCAGCCCCGAGTATTAGCAGCAGCTGGGACTCGCTTGGGGCATGCTAATTGCCAGCAGGCTTATGGGCTATTTAACCCATGCCCTCACGTTGACAAATCGTGCCAGCAACTAGTCCCTTCGGACAAAGCTCTGCACCTCCTCACTCGTGTTCCTGACTCCTGGTTCTTGTCTGGATTCTCACGGCTCTTTGACCTCGGACTGAACGACTGTGCTTAGACTCTGCACCCCGAACCTTTGACTCCCTGGCTCTTGACTCTTTTGGACTCTGGCTCTCTGACGACTCTAACAGTTTGTGTTTTGAACTTGATCTCTCGGTTGGTTTGCTTGCCTGGCTCTTGACTTTGGACTGTACCTTGACTACCCCACTCTTGCTTTGTGAGTTGAACTTGGTTTCCTGGCTGGCTTGCTCACCTGGTTCTTTACCTCGGACTGTATCCTGACTACCTCACCCCGGCCCAGCCCCACATCATGACACACGATGAGTAGTATATGAACAGTCCACACAACATCCCGAGCGCCAAGATGATGAAAGGGGCTCGATCCAGCTGCCCCACAATCTATCAACTTGCTCAAATATGTGATGAGGCCTCATTTCAAACCAGGTGTCATTAAAGCAGAACTCTTATTTGAGGTTACCCTGTTCACAAGATACTGTGGACCCATTTACAATCCATGTACCGTGTACATTTGATTTTTCTTTAAACAAGTACTACAGTATTTCTCACATTACATTTGATGCATGTACAGCTGAACATGTGGTTGAAAAGGCACATTTATCAGGGGGATTAGTCCCCAATTTCATTTGTAAAGTAAAAATCATTTGGCCCATCCTTACAAACAGGCATACACTTGTACCTGTATGTGCCCCAAGGCCAAGGATCCCCAGCATGTCAGTTCATACTGCTGAAGGTTATTGAGCAAAGTAGGTTGTGCCCACAGAGTCTTGTCTAGTGAGATAGCATTCATGCATATTAATGTGCTTATTTGCACTAAATACCACATACTAAACTCAATAGAACAGTCTAATGTTGATATTCCATTTCCCATTGCCTTTTCATCATAGATAGAGAACCAGTGCGATGTAGTGGTTAGGAGTGTAGACCCTAATATGGGAGAACCGGGTTTGATTCCCCACTCTTCCACATGCAGCTGCTGGTGTGACATTGGGTCAGTCACAAGTTATTTCAGAGCTGTTCTCTCAAGAGCAGTCCTCAAAAGGGCTCTCTCAGCCCCACCTACCTCATAGGGTGTCTGTTGTGGGGAGGGGAAGGGGAAGGAGATTGTAAACTGTTCTGAGACTCCTTTGGGTTGTGAAGGACGGGGTATAAATCCAGTCTCTTTTCTCAGAACAACCCCTTATGAGGTAGGTTAGGTTGAGAGAGAAGACTGGCCCACTGTCACAGAGCTAACTTCGTGATAGAGCTGGGATTTGAACCTGGGTGGCTCAGAGGTTAAGATGCTGAGCTGCAGACTGGAAGGTCTGTAGTTCAGCAGTTCGAGACCCTAGTGCTGTGTGACGAAGTGAGCTCCCGTCTCCGGGCCCAGTTCCTGCCAACCTAGCAGTTTGAATGCAAGAAATTGCAAGTAGATAAATAGGTACCACTCTGGTTGGAAGGTAAGAGCGTTCCGTGTGCCTCAACGTTTAGTCATGCCAGCCACATGACCACGGAAACATCTTAGGACAGCGCTGGCTCTTCGGCTTGGAAATGGAGATGAGCACTGCCCCTTAGAGTCGGATTCAACTAGCCTTTGAGCAAGGGAAACCTTTAACTTTGCCTTTTACCAACACTCTAACCGCTACACCATACTGGTTCTCTATCTATGATGAAAGGGCATTGACTACATGGGGCATGGGGGCCATATCCATAACTGTATCCAGCTGTCAGTAATCTCCTAGAAAAGGCAAACCAGCTGCCATAGATGCCAATATAAAATCCAGTTCCCTACCTTGCATTTCACCATATCCACCACTCGCTCTTGCATCGATTGTCCAGCCTTGGGCCTCACAAGGATGTAAACAGCTTTCACGTCTGGGCTGGAACGCAGCAGCTTTTCCACTAGGACCTTTCCCATAAAACCTGTGGCTCCTGTGATGAGTACCGACTTCCCATTGTAGTATGTGGCAACAGAAGACATGGCGCTTGCCTTTCAGCTTGTCGTCCTTCCAATCTTCTTTCTGGAGGTACCTGGTGGAAACATGGAACAGTCCAAGAGATGAGATCCTGGTGAGATCAGGACTTTCAGAAATGGAACATGGTTCCAGTTTCCGGCGCGATACTGGGGGATGCCTTATCCGTGTGACCCATATCAGGGGTTTTGTTTAACCTCTTTTAGCCTAACTTAGTCAACCACTGTTACTTTGTGTCATTTGGCTCTCCCACTGTTGTTTATTTTGGCTTTTATGTCATTTGGCCGCCTTTGGCTGTGTTTGTGGTTTTGGAAGTGTTAACACCCCTTGATGATGACTGTCTTCTCTGTATGAAAATTAGTTTGGTGTGTTGATTTATTTGACGTGTTAATTTATGAGAGTAAGAAAAAGGCCTCATCTTTGATGAATGTAGTAGGCAGAGGAGGAGGAAGGAGGGAGAAACAAGTGCAGGGTTAGCTTTTGTCTTTTCTTTTTTAGGGATGGGCAGGAAATATGCAGATAAGGAATCAATTCCAGGGGTTACTAGCCCCAAACAACAGAAGACTGAAGAATCATTTTACTTCTCCTTGTTGAACCGTTTTCAGATCCTGCAATCAGACCAGGTAGCTTCCCCCACCTAAGACTTCTTCTTTTGAAGCCGCAAATAACCTCTTGTCAGATACTACCACGGTAAACTAATTTAGACTCCTTTATAAATTATGCCTTGGTGAATATGATGGAGGCACCGAAAGTTAAGTCTCCGTTTGTATTGCAGGCAACTCAAACTGACCCATATGAACTATCTGAAACTGTAAACCCCCAGAAAATGGTAAATAAAACCTTGCCAAAATAGTCACAAGGGATGTGGGTGGAAAATATGCACAGCATGAATAATTCCCTGATGGACTATAATTTGCTAGCTACTCAAACTTTTATAGTCGCTCAGCACTGCTGCTTCTGAAAGTTGAGAGACTCTGCGCAGTGTCATCTGATGCAGTAAACATGGAGAACATGCCAACATGCATGCAGAAGAAACATTTTAGGTACATGTACATGGCTTTTAGGAGCCTAACCCCTAATAGGAATTTGTTATCAAACTGCATGTGAGAATACCAGTTCACACAAGAATCCATGAAAAAAGGCTCCATAAGCAAGAAAACTTCAGGTGACTGTAACCATTAATCCTTCTGGCAGACACCTCCAAAGCATTTCCTTCATATCCAGTCTCAGCACTGTAACCCCACTTCTGCTCACTTACTCTTACACCTCCCTGCTGTTCCTAGTTTAAAAAACACACTGCTACAAAGGGAGGGAGTGATTATGCCAGCAAGCAGGCTCCATGGAAAGAGGTGGTCCACAGGGGGCTGGAGCTGTTGGAAATAACAATGGCTGCAGTCACCTGTAAGAGTTTCTGTCAGGAGGGCGATGCCAACCCCCTCCCGACTATGCAGGAAGTCACTCCAGTAGCACTCGCCAAGGGAAGGAACACGGTCTTAGACCCTTCCCGGGAGGTCCGGGGATCCTGTCTCAATGTCCACAGAGAGGCGACAGTCCTAAGAAGGGAGGGGGTCGAGGGCGCGGAACCACTTGGGCACGACGTCAGGGACCCGACCGCTGGAAACAGGGTTGGTGGGTGGAACGACAAGACCAAAATCCCTTGGAGCCCCGGCTGGTGGCTCGGTTACTTTAAGAAGTGGGTGGTGGGTGAAGCAGGTGTGGAGGCTGAACAAATAAAGAAACCGGACAGGTGAAGCCAGGGAGGAGAAGGGGTTCGCTCATGGAGAGACTGAGAGGAGGGAGACGTAATCCACTTGAACTCGTCTAAGCGAACTTTCCTTGTTGTGGCGAGTGAGAATAACTTGACCGACAACAATTCTGAGACATACCTGAGCCGATGGTGTTCAGCCAAACACCCTGGCTTCGACTCACAACCGACTCAACCCCTCCCATAATCCCGAGCGTGACAGTTTCTCATTCACAATGCTCCATGTGGGAAATAATTGTAACATACACAGTATACACCATGTGTCTTTGCACTTTTGGCATTACATACATCTTTGTATCTTTGCACTTTTGGCATTTTTACATTTCATAAAATCTGGTTTTTATACAAAATTGTTCAGTTTTAGGAGAAGGAAGCATCTTGAGAAATATAATATGCAGAATAACTCAAATGAGCGCAGGAAGCAGTTTTATTAACAAAATGCTGGCTTCTAGCTTGTTTCAAGCATTTGGCTCTTAAGGGACTATCTCAAAAGTAAACATAGGAAGCAAAAAGCAGGGCATGTTCAAGGACTTACAGAGGCTTCTCATTAACCTCTTTCCTCCTTCCCTTCCTCTATGGTGAAATCCCCTAGCTGAGGTATTGAACTCATTTGTTCCAAGGGCTGGATCTGACATAAATGTCACTTTGTTGGGCGAGGCCACGTGCGCCATAAAATGCAATGCCAGGTACCAGAGATATAAACTTTATAAAGGACACAGGCAAAACCAATTAACAATATTATTTTTTACTCAAAATACAAACCTGCTTAGAACATTAACACTCTTGCAGTATTTCCTTACACTTTCTCCCTGATGCCCACCTGCCCACTTCCACCACCCATTACTCATTAGCACTGGGACGGTATACAGGGACATAATGCACAGCCTCTCATCTGGCAACAAAGGTATGACAAGTTGGTCACGGGCTGGATAAGAGCCCTGGGTGGGCTGTAAGTTTGACAACCTGCATAGTGTCTCCCTGTTTTCTGCTTCCTTCTTACTCACCAGCCAACATACCTTTACCTACCCTTGTGTCTTCAGCTTTCCTTCCTTCCCTCCTGCGGCAGCCTCTTTGTGGGAAAACTCTGACCAAGCTGCGTGATGGCAAAATTAGCTTACATTACTCTTTTCTCCTCCATTTTATCCTCACAACAACATTGGAGGTCTGTTAAGCTAAGAGTGTGTGACTGACCCAAGGTCACCCAGTGAACTTCCATGGCGGGGCAGTGATTTAAACCTGGGTCTCCCAGATCCTAGTCTGAAAGTCCAACCACTGCATAACATGGGCTTTCAAAGGGTGGCTTGCTGTTGAACAGTAGCAAGCAGCAAGGCCTGGGTGAATCATGCAAGGCAGATGGTAGCAAGTCACCCAGAGGTTGCTACCATGCCTGGCCTTGATGAGTACTCCCTCAACAGCTAAAATAGCCCTGGAAAGGTCCCTGCCATCTCCCCCTGCCCTTTAATGACAGAAATCAATACTGTTGTGGTAGCCTAGCAATGGACTCTGGTGGCATCTGTTTCTTAAAGCTACAGGTGCCCCTTTGATAATTCTTGGTTTTTAAAGGCCCATCCCATTTTTATTTTACATTTCAGATTTTTCTGCAAGTCTTCTATCCATGTCCCCAGTCTCTGGATTTAAGTATCCACAGATGGAATCAGATATATTGATATTAAAACAATACCTTACAAAACTCATACTGTGGTTTCCACAGCAAAAAAGTACCAAATCTCCAAAAGACTTTTAATCAGACAGAAACAAACAAACAAACAAACAGAAATTAGTGTTAGCCTATAAAAAATGTAAGCTAGCAAGGCAAAACATAATGAGTCAGCCTTTCGGAGCTAAAGTTTTTAAAGATGTGTTCAAGGTATACTGGAGGCAAGGCCATCTGTGCTATAGCAGATCACCTTAGGAATGCCTTCCCAGCATCCCTTTGCCTGGTACCAAGCTGTTGCACATAAGGCATCAGGTGAGGACGACCCTCTTTTCCAGAGACTACTGCTTTTTAAACTTTTGTTTGGGGTGACAGTACAGCTTTATTCTGTTGTTGCTTTTTATGCTTGATGTCCATGTCTCTCTTATTAATCTCCACTTTTTGATGATGGTTTTATTGTGCAGCTTTTTGTTCAGATTCCTTAGCACCCAGGTGCCTTTATCTGAAATGTGTCTGTGCTGCCACTGGCTTTAGTTTTATTTCCTACTTTTGTTTTTAAGCTTCGTAAGCCTCCATATGACTTTTTTAAAAAAATGTGTGGGATAGTTATTTTTAAACAAATAAACAAAACAAAGTGCTCAAAGATCAGCCTGCAATACTTTGTTCTGTTGAAACCCTTTATTCTCAGGGCCAAACATTACCTAAAAGAGCACACATGGATAGAGGGTTTTTTAAAAATAAAAAGTACCTAGCAGGGCAGCAAGTTGGAGCAACAGAGTGGCAAGCTGAGGGGCTGCCAGTTCAGACCCCATCGATGTGTATTTAAATCCTAAATATAAATACACATTGATGGGGTCTGAACTGGCAGAGACTGATCAAGAGAGAGATCTTGGAGTTGTAGTAGATAATTCACTGAAAATGTCGAGACAGTGTGTGACTGCAATAAAGAAGGCCAATGCTATGCTGGGGATTATTAGGAAGGGTATTGAAAACAGATCAGCCAATATAATAATGCCCCTATATAAATCAATGGTGCGACCTCATTTGGAATACTGTGTGCAGTTCTGGTCACCACACTTTAAAAAGGATATTATAGCTTTGGAAAAAGTGCAGAAAAGGGTAACTCGAATGATAAAAGGGTTGGAACACTTTCCCTATGAGGAAAGGTTAAAGCGCTTAGGGCTCTTTAGCTTGGAGAAACGACGACTGAGGGGAGACATGATTTAGGTTTATAAGATTATGCATGGGATAGAGCAGGTCAAGAAAGGAGTACTTTTCTCCCTTTCTCACAATACAAGAACTCGTGGGCACTCCATGAAATTGCTGAGCGGTCGGGTTAGAACAGATAAAAGGAAGTACTTCTTTACCCAAAGAGTGATTAACACATGGAATTCAGTGCCACAGGAAGTGGTGGCAGCTACAAGCATGGACGGTTTTAAAAGGGAATTAGATAAATATATGGAGCAGAGGTCCATCAGTGGCTATTAGCCACAAGGTATAGATAGGGGCTCTGGGGCAAGTGATGCTCTGTCTTCTTCATGCTGGGGGGGCGGGGTCAACAGTGGGATGGCTTCTAATGTCCTGGCCCCACTGGTGGACCTCCTGATGGCATCTGGTATTTCTGGCCACTGTGTGACAG